GAGAGAGAGAGAGAGAGAGAGAGAATTTACTTTAATATTTATTTTTTTTGGTTCTCGGCGGACACAACATCTTTGTTGTATGTGGTGCTGAGGATCGAACCCAGGTCGCACGCATGCCAGGCGAGTGCGCTACCACTTGAGCCATATCCCCAGCCCTGAAAGAATTACTGATAGTGCAAACAACCAAGGGAAGACCAATTAAGGTTTTAAGACTGCATGGTATTGAAGCCATAGACTTTAGACTGCTTTGAGTAATTCAACTCTGTCAATCATCATTTTAGTGTGCAAAGGAGTTCAAGAAACCTGATTTTTTTTCCCTTTTTAAAAACCAGTTGGTAATGGGATCGTGCAAATCCTAAAATTCTAGTCAACTCCTGATGGTTTGAGGATATGGCACTAACTATTACTGTATAAGGCCTAATCTAACAAATATGCTACTTCAGATCAAAAATCGTTGGAAATCGTGCCAATTACATCAATTTAACATACACTGAAATTTGGCATCTGGAAGTAACTTAGCCAACAAAATCTCACTTGTTAAATAAGAAAACTGAAGTAGAAAAAGCTTATTTGATTTCATCCAGATTTTACACAGACAGAATTTTAGAAAATGATATATGTAAATCAAGCTTTTATATGTAAATTTAAAACTCATCAAAACTACTAACCATTCTATAAGCACTCCTTTCAAGACGTTGACCATCTTTTTTCCAGTCAGAAGGTGCAGATGACCTCAATAATCCCAATAGAAAGAAACACGAAATTCAGAAGCATCAACTTGAGTATACTTTGGGGATCTGCGTCTGAAATAAGACAAAATATGAAGCGTCCATCAAATTGTGCTAACATTAAAACACACCGACATTCTGACCATTTAACAAAACTAAAATTGTATACCTGAAATGCACAAATACTATTAGCAAACAACTTCTATCAGCAGCCAATTAACGAAACTCCCCTTAGGCATGCCCATCCCAGGTGTAAAACAGGTCCATTACGTAAACCTTTCTCATTCCGGAGAAGGATAAAAAGTCAACTCCCAGAGGAGTTTCACAACGGTAGAGATGAAAGGGCCCTTAAAATTCACACAGTGATTCGGGCTAGGGATGCAGCTGAGTGGCAGAGCGCTTGCCTCACATGCACCAATTGGGTTCAGTCCCCAGTACTGGAAGGAGGAGAAAAAAAATTTACGTAGTGATTCAACAATCTCATTTTAAAGATGAGGTCAAATGAGATTAGGTTAGTTCCCGGCCCCGCTTCAAAGAAACAGTAAAGCCAGGGCTCCAGATCGTGGGCTCCTTTGCTAAACCACCCAGTCTCTCCATGATCTGCGCTCGAAGGAAACTGCCCAGCGTACCCCCAAATTAACCCTCCGGCCCGAACGCCTGGGCGCAGGGCGACACCCCAGAAGGAATCCACGAGGAGACAGCGCGGGACAGCTGCCCGGCACGTCACGAAGGGCTCGAGGAAATGCGCGACAGCGCCCTAACCCCAGCGCCCGGACGACAGGTGCCGGGCCTCTCCTTCGTCTCCGCTCTTTATTCCGAACCCCGCGGTCTTCCACGCACAGCACTCTCCCCTGCAGCTCAGAGGATCGCCACGCACCTCCGCCCACAGACCCAGCGGAGCCTCGGCGTCGCCCACACCGTGCTCCGGCGCGTCTACGTCATCGCGCCAAGCACGCTCTTGTGGGCGGAGCGCGCCGGCGAGAGGCGGGGCGAGCTAGGCCAATGGGCGGGGCATGCAGGGGCGGGGTCACGTGCCGGCTGCCACCTGAGGGGGGATCTCCGGCTGGCAGCCGCTGAGAAGGGTGGTAGCTCCCGCTGGCGGGTTCCGAGGGAGCGGTTGGCGGCAGGCCGAGTCCGCGTGCTGGCAGGTAGGAAGAAGTGGCGGGCTCGTGGGTCGGGCGGGGGCGTCGGTGAAGCCAGGCACGTATGGGAGTGGGGAGCGGTAGCCCGGCACGGCCGGGGCGCCCCCGTGAGGGCGCGCGGCCCCGGCGCGACCTGCGGATCCGCCGCGGGCGTGAGGGTCTCTCTCTGGTCCTCTGAAGCTGGCTTGCTTTTTCTGGTTCGCTGTGGCGCTTCTCTGGTTGCTCCCGAGGCCAGGGGCAGCGTGTCTCCTGGTGCACCATCCAGGTTCTGTTGACAAGATGATGACCAGAAGGAAGCAGCCCATCGGACACTCCTGAACCTGCCGGATCCCAGCTTCTAGCTCCCTGGCCCTGGAGACTGGGGAGACTGGATACCGATTTAGTCTCGAAAACCTGTAACGGTCATTTTAAAGCGAAAGACCACAGAAGGTTCTAAAGTTAGTTCCTTTCTGAAATTCTGATGTGGTCTTAATGGAGCTCTCCATTTTTCCAAGTTGCGGTAGGTTCTTGCTTTCTGTGCATTGGGTTTTGTTGTACTTCTACAATTAAGCTTGTGTAGCTTTTTGCTTCGTGTGTTCTTGTGATCTCTTATGGACCCTTGCTTTCCTACTTATTTCCCTCTTCCCTTATCTCAAATCTTTCCTTTCCATTGGTTCCTATGTCCTTCAGCTCCTTTTAAAATTTGCCTCGTTTAGTTTTTCCCAAGCCTCTTTTCCTTGCTTTTGTTTTTTCCCTGCCGATCTTCCCTCCTTAAGAATCAGCCCTCCATTTCGTGAGTTCCTTTACCTTGAACTTGAGCTCCAGGTGCTGGACGGATGCCTGCACTTTAATGACTTGTGTGTAATCTGAACGCCACCTTTCAAATTGAAACCATTTTCATCATTCTCTTTCATTCTTCAAAACCTGCTTTTCTTCCAAGCATTCAGATTTAAAACCTGCATCCATATTTACTCAAAAACAATCTTTGTACCTGGAATATACCAGGCACTATTCTAGACACTCTGGGTGCAATGGTAAACAAGTAACTAATTTTAGTGGGGGCACAGAGACACACCAGGTAACAAGAAGATACCAGATGGTGATGTGATAGTGACTGAAAGGGCTACATTGGTTAAAAGAAATAGCCTTCAGTTAATATTTCTGAGTAAAACAAAAACAAAAAAATAATATATATTAGCAACAATTCACCAGAAATTTTAATGATGAAGAGGTACCATTCACAATGGCATTCAAAACTGCAAGTGTCTAGAAATAGATCAATTAAAGCTGTCTGGTCCTTTAGGTAGAAAATTGTAATGCTTAATTGAAACACATAAAAGTACACCAAGTAGCTGAACAGATAGATGTACAATATTCATGGATGGGAACACTCAATGCCAAAAAGATAATAGGTTTCTCCAATTCTATACATTCTGTGCAGTGCCAGTGAAAATCACTATAGTTTTCATGGAATTTGACATTCTAAACCTATAATTTATGTGGAAAGTCAAAGTACCAAGAATAGCTAAGTCAATTTCAAAGAAGAAAATTAAATATGGTCCCTCTCTACTAGATATCAAAGCTTAATATAAACTTGTAATAATTAAGACAGTATGATGTTGGTTTGGGGTAAAGGAGATTCATGGAACAAGATACAGCATCTATAAACACACCCATATACATATGGGAGCTTAGTACACTGTTATATCACAAAGTAAGGGGAAAACTGTTCAATAAATGATGCAAAGATACATTAAATCCATTTGGAATAAAGACAGAGTTCTTGCTTCATACCATTTACAACAGTAATTTCTAGATGTATTAAAGAACAATCTGAAATACACATTTTTAAGATATTTAGAAAAAAATGAGACTAGGTTGTCTCTGGGAAAGATTTTTTTGTTTGCTTTGTTGTGGTACTACATATAAGATTTACCATTTTTAGATGTGTGGTTCAGTGATTTAAAAACAAGTTGTAGATGGATGGCATGCCTTTATTTATTTTTTAATGTGGTGCTGAGGCTTGAACGCAGTGCCTCACACATGCTAGGTAAGTGTTTTGCCACTGAGCTACAGCCCCAGCCCTCAGTGATGTTTTTATGTAGCTAGCCCTACTGTTTGCCTTTAGAACATTTTCATCTGCCAGGAAGGATTTCTTAAGTTATAAAAAAAAGCACCTTTAGGGCTGGGATTGTGGCTCATCGGTAGAGCACTTGTCTAGCGCATGTGAGGCCCTGGGTTCGATCCTCAGCACCACATTTAAAAAAAAAAAAAATCACTGAGCCACAACCCCAGACAACAATTTACTAATAAAACAAGGTTTTATAAGTAAGAATGGAGGGCTGAAATAATGTTTAATTTCATTCCATTTTCACTCCAACTAGGGCAATGAAGCTATCTTTGTGAAGGCTCCAGTGACCTTGCTGTGGTTAAATTTAATGGAATTTTTGAATATTTGTTTCATTTTGTTCTCATAGTATCTCCCTTTTTAGTTGTTCTTAATCTCTTCAGAATTACTGCTTTGTTCTCTACTTAAAATAATTGTTTCAGGTTTAATGTAGCTATAGTTTTAATCCTAAAAGATTTTTAAAATAGAAATTGACAAAACTGACTCTAAAATTATGTGGCAGTGCCAAGGACCTTGAATAGTCCATCTTGAACAGGAATAACAAAGATGGAAAACTTACATTACTTAGCTCAATCCTTACTGTAAAAATATAATAATCAAGACTGGTATTTAAGGACAGACAGCTAGATCAGTGGGATATAATAAAAAATCCAGAAATAGGTATACAATATATGATCAACTGATTTTTGAGCAAGGTACAAAATCACTTCAATGGTGAAAAAATTGTCTAAGCAAATTTTATTGGCACTTTCAAATAGCCATATAAAAATAATTCAACCTCAACTCCTGCTTATTCAATACAAAAAAAAATTAACTTGAGATGGGCTATAGACTATACTAAATGTAAAAGCTAAAACAATTTTTTAATAAAATTAGACTGTGACATGAAGTGGGCAACAATTTCTCAAGACACAGAGGGCAATAATCATAAAACAATTGGTGAGACTGTTAATATTAAAACTCCTTTTCATCAAAAGGTATCTTTACAAAAATGAGGGCTGGGGTTGTGACTCACTGGTAGAGTGCTGGGTTTGATCCCTAGCACCACATAAAAATAAAGAAATAAAAAATAAAGGTATTGGGGTTGGGGTTATGGCTCAGCAGTAGAACGCTTGCCTAGCATGTGCGAGGCGCTGGGCTCAATCCTCAGCACCACATAAAAAGTAAATAAATAAAATAAAGGTATTGTGTCCAACTACAACTAAAAAAATAAAGTTTAAAAAAAAGAAAGGAATAAACAAATCACAGTTGGAGGAGTTAGTTGTAATGTATATGTATATGTGTGTGTGTATACATATACACACATATGTATATTTGATTAAGGATTTGTTTCTAGAATGTATATAATACTGATAATTCATCCTTAAAATTTTTTTAAATGAGCAAACACTTGAACAGACAGTTCACAAAAAATATGTAAATGGCTAGCAAATATGAAAAAGTGCTCAACATAGTTTGGGGGGAATTTCAAACCAAAATTATGAAAAAATACTATAATGCACACACAGAAAAGGCTAAAATCAAACAGGCTGACAGCATTGTCAAGGATGTGGAACGATTGGAACCCTAATACTCCTGCTTTGTTGGTTGCAATGTAAAATGGTACAGTCATGTTGGAAAAAACTGTCAGTATCTTACAGAGTTAAACATATAACTTCCCTTCCCCAGCAATTCCACTCCTGGATATTTACCCAAGAGATGTGAATACACATGTCTGCAAAAAAAAAGACTTGTATCAGAATACTCATAGCAGCTTATGGTAGGCAGAATACTGACCCCCTCAAAGATGTCCATGCACCAGGCATGGTGGCACACTCCTATAATCCCAGCGGCTTGGGAGGCTGAGGCAACAGGATCACAAGTACAAAACCAGCCTCAGCAACAGCAAGGTGCTGAGTAACTCAGAGATAACCCTGGCTGTAAATAAAATACAAAACAGGGCTGGGGATGAGTGGTTGAGTGTCCCTAAATTCAACCCCGAGTATCAAAAAAAAAAAAAAAGTGTCCATGCCTTAATCCCTGGAATCCCCTGGTTACATAATGTTATATGGCAAAAAGGACTTTCCAGATGGAATGAAGGTTACAGACCTTAAATTGGGAGATTACTTTATATGATCTGGAGTAGTCTGGTGTAATTACATAGTCCCTGAAAGTTAAAGAAGAAAGCAGAAGAGACAGGTGTGGCAATATAAGAAGGACAAACTGTTGTCAATTCTGAGATGTAGGGGGCTACCTGCAAAGACCAGTCAGAGGGCTTTGGGAGCTAAGAGTGGCCCCCAGATAACAACCAGCACGTTAATAAGAACCTCCTTGTTAAAGCTGAATGAACAGAGTTCTGCCAATCACTAGGGAACTGAAATCTGAACGAGTCTGGTAGTGGATTCTCCCCCAGAGCTTTCAGTAAGTGGAAGCAGCCCTGTTAAAACCGTGGTTTTAGTTTCATGGAACTTGGAACAGAAAAATCAGATCTGGAGTAGGAACCTGCATTTTATTAAGTACCTCTGCAGATAGTCCTTTGGACATTTTGAGTAACACTGTTTTATACACTAGTGTTTATTTAAGCAATCATCTGGCCTAAGCCTCCTGAGAAGCTGCAGATGTGTGCTACCACTCAGAGCTCTCCACTATTCTTAATAACTTTATCCAAACCCCTGGCTTCAATTAGTAATGTATGCTGATGTCTCCTACATTTATATCTATAGATTAGTCCTCTGCTGAGCTTACACTGCT